TCTATAATTTATGGCACTACGAGGAGACTGTGGCTATGGAGGTGCAGCCGTCTGACCACCGACCTAATTATGGTCTCAGGAGGTGGATAAATCGTCATCACCCTTTTATAACAAGGAAGAGTTAACGCTGTAGTGTAGCAGTAATTTATGAGTCGTGATTTTGGTCGGGATTTACTGAAACAATGAGTTAGGAGAAAATTAAGGATAATTAAATTGGCGTTTATACACCACAGTGAGAAACGGCGGCGGGATGAAGTGAAGCGTTAATTAAAGAGACCTTTTACCTCATAATAAAAGAGCATCGCTAGCCGTTAGTAAACACTGCTACACGCTCACTGCATTAATCTGGAGAGGAGCACAGAACTACACCTCCAGTATAACACTGTCTGGGGCAACACAACTCAGTGTGATGGTTGGTCATGACACACACACACACACACACACACACACACACACACACACACACAGGGGTTAACCCACTTCTCACTTACCATAAACAAAATTAATTACATTATTTTAAGACAGAAATTAATTAAGTAAGACAAAAGACAATCACAGTCATCATACATTCGTCAGTGTGTTTCCCTCACCGTGAACACTGACGCTGTGAGGTAACTTCTCCCCAGGACGCGAGGAGCAAGATGGCGGGTCTCAACACATAATTACACCAGGCTGGCCTCTGCGGCGGATTGGATTAAAAGTTGGATATAAGTTGCTCCTGAGATTGAAAGGATCAGAGATTCAAGGCATTTAGGGATTACACGTTTTAAGGCGGTAAAGCTTGTCTGGCAACAGTGTGTTATGAAGGAGGGCGAGTGTGAGGTGGGCAGCCCTTACTAACACCACCACTACTGCTGCTACTAACCACAATCAACCACCACTACCACTACTGCTGCTACTAACCACAATAAACCACCACTACCACCATCACCACTACAGCCAACCAGATCACCACCACCACTAAACACAACCATCATCACCATCACAACCAACCACATTCATTCCCTGTTTTGTGAGGAATGTTAACACACACACACACAGGGCGAGACTACCTGGTACACACTGAGTGATAAGTGCCAGTGTGGGGCAGAACAGAGCCAAGAAAGGGGTAAGAGGGTGGCACTGTGTTATGGCACCGAAATACAGTACCCTAACGAGGACGTGTAGTGTGTGGCGATGTTATTGTGGGAGTGTGTGGGCCTGGGTGTGGTGTGTGGGAGGAGTGGGAATGGTGTATGGGGGAATGGGAATGATGTGTGGGAGGAGTGGGAATGATGTGTGGGAGGAGTGGGAGTGATGTATGGAGGGAGTAGTAGTGTGTGAAGGTGGAGGGGGGACTGTGGAGGTAAGACGTGTGAGGTAAGCAGGAGGAGGCACTGAGGTGAAGAGAGATGGGTGAGGTAGAGGCCGTAGTAACACTCACTCACCCGAGGCTCCTTGGAGAGTCTGTGACCAGGCTCCTCCCCTATACACCAAGCTGTAAACAGACCCCAGACCGAGCTACTGACGTTGTAATGTGTCCTTCTTCCACGACTCTTCCCTCGGGGGCTTCTGGAGGCTGTTGAGTGTAGAGGATGGGGCTGCAATAGATGGAGAGCCCAATAAAGACTGCGGCGGGAGGTGGAGAGCTCAGTAAAAGCTGCGGAAAGAGGCACAAAGCCCAATAAAGGCTGCGGCCGGAGGTGGAGAGCCCAATAATGGCTGCGGCAGGAGATGGAAAGCCCAATAAAAGCTGCGGCCGGAGGTGGAAAGCCCAATAAAAGCTGCGGCAGGAGGTGGAAACCCCAATAAAGGCTGCGGCAGGAGGTGGCGGGGCGAGGTTGAGACATTGTAGGTAGGAGAGACCCGGACATGTAGCGGGCGGCGCTTGGCACGCTCGAGCGACGCTACACACGCTCGAGTGGCCGCTACGGCAGGTGGAGCAGCAGCAGCGGCAGACAGACAGCCTCTCCTGCAGCCATCTCCACGCCTCAGTAGCCACACACCATAGGAGGTCCCACAGGTTGTTGCGAGGCTGGCGGCTCCCGGGGCCTGCTGGCGGGTGTCATCTGCAGCAGTGAGTAATGGTCCAAGTTTATGAATAAAGAAGCTTACCGAGACGATGACCGCGCTGGGGCCTTGGCTGAGGCGCGCGCACACACACACACACACACGAGCATTCACTTGTTTTCCTAAAGCATTGTTATTCAGGTCGATGAAGCACAACAATTATAGACATATATCACCAACAGTGGACTTAATTCCCTTCTCCTGTAGCTCTTACCCCACAAGATGGCCGCAAACCTCACCAACTATATTGCTGTCACATAATCTTTGTCTTTGTCAATTCTTTATGTTTTGTGTTAATATTTTTGGTAAACCTCGACAGTACGGGTGTATATTAACACAAAACATTAACTGTGCTTAACTAACCTGTGACTCACCAAACACAACAACAGTACAGGTAAATTAACACAAAATATTAACCTGACTGACGCACAAAGTAATCCCAACAACAACAAAAAATAATTCACGATTGACACTAAATTAAAAATGTATAAAAGTTCATCAATAAACGTAACCTTGATTGTGTTTGATAATTATTACATTAATGACTTATGTCTTCGGATACCAGCGCGCGCGCGCGCGCGCGCGTGTGTGTGTGTGTGTGTGTGTAGGTGAGAGGGAAGAGAGGGAAGCGAAGGAAGAGAGAGAGAGGGAAGGGAAGGAAGAGAGAGAGAGGGGGGAGGGAAGGAAGAGAGAGAGAGAGGGAAGGAAGAGAGAGAGAGGGGGGAGGGAAGGAAGAGAGAGAGAGAGGGGTAGTGAAGGAGGAGAGAGAGAGGGGAGCAGACCCAGGTATTTTTCTATCATCGTCGTCAGCGTCGCTACGATTAACCAACAACAAAGACAACACAATGATTGGTCGATTACCTGAATTACCTCATTACATCAATCAGTAGCAGCAGCAGTGGCGGACAGGGCGGTGGTGGCGAGAGGATTGAGTTACAGGGAGACAAAAATCACACTTAAGGTCTAATGCCAACTTTGTATGCTCTGATGATGCTGATTCTCTTGGCTGAGAGATAAATCCTGGTCAAAACTTAACTTATTTCTCACCAAAGGCTTTTTTTTTCCTTCATATTTTCCTCGTACAAAATTATGTTACTTGTATTTTGTGATTATTAAGAATTAGATTGTCGCTTGAGGTTATGTGGGGGAGGGAGGGAGGGTGTGTGGGTGTGGGGGGAGGGTGTGTGTGGGGGGGCTTGGAGTGGTGTGTGGGGGAGGGGGTTTGTGGGGAGGAAGATATATGAGGTGTAGAGAGCTTAATAGAGTAAACAATAGGTAAATTCTTAATTCATCCCTAATATTGACATCCTTATCCTGTTAACCTATCTAGTTTGGTGAGTTATCTATCCCTAACATGATGCTCTGTGTGTGTGTGTGTGTGTGTGTGTGTGTGTGTGTGTGTGTGTGTGTGTGTGTGTGTGTGTGTGTGTGTAAAACAAAACCAAAAATCGAATTAAAACAACGAGTGCACATGCCTGTCCTTCACACTGTCTCTGTCTCCCGCTGTCAGCTGTTTCTCTCTCCCTGTCCACATGCACACACACTCTCTCTCTCTCTCTCCTTGGAGCTTACTGTCTTTCCCTGGATAGTCTCTCTCTCTCTCTCTCTCTCTCTCTCTCTCTCTCTCCTACACAGTCTCTCTTCATGGTCCCTCTTTATCTCTTTCCTCCTCCTGTCAAATTCTCTTCCTTCTTCCCTCTCCACGCGGTTTTATCTTCCTCTCTTTTTCCATCTTCTCGCTTAATATCTCTCTTCCCTCCCTGCCGTGCCCCCCACACACACACCTACCCTCAGTATCTCTCCCTACCCTGAGTATCTCTCCTACCCACAGTATCTCTCCCTACCCACGAGTATCTCCTCCCTACCCACAGTATCTCTGCTACCCACAGTATCTCTCTCTCCTACCTCCAGTATCTCTCCCTACCCACAGTACATCTCTCCCTACCCACGAGTATCTCTCCCTACCCTCGGTATCTCTCCTACCCACGGTATCTCCCTACCCACAGTATCTCTCCCTACCCACAGTACTCCCTACCCACAGTATCTCTCCCTACCCACAGTATATCTCCCTACCCACAGTATCTCTCCCTACCCACAGTATCTCTCCCTACCCACAGTATATCTCCCTACCCACAGTATCTCTCCCTACCCACAGTATATCTCCCTACCCTCAGTATCTCTCCCTACCCACAGTATCTCTCCCTACCCACAGTATATCTCCCTACCCACAGTATCTCTCCCTACCCACAGTATCTCTCCCTACCCACAGTATCTCTCCCTACCCACAGTATCTCTCCTTCTCTCTCTCTCTGGCGGGCCAACACACACACACACACACTCCCCTGAATTATGCAGGCGACCGCGGCAGAAGAAAAAGTCGGTTTTATTTGGCCGGGTTTACGACGCTGTTAAGGGGCCGACTCTGCTGGAGGAGGGAGGGAGAGAGGGAGGGAGAGATGGAGGGAAGGAGGGAGGGAGGGAGGGAGAGATGGAGTTACTGCTGCTAGCCCCTGGGGTAGGATAGCTGGGATAGACCCGGCATAGTGTTGTGTTGGCATGTTTATATCACTGGCAGATGAAACTGTTTGGGGATAGGGATGGGATAGGGGTGGGTTAGGTTAGGGGTGGGTTAGGTCAGGGGAAAAGGATAGTATTCAGAAGCTCCCAGGAGATGGATAGGAGATAAGAGAACGTTACTTTCTCGGGCAGGATAGGAGGACGAGACGCGGCTGACTTACGGGAGACGGGACTGCCACTAGCCCCTGGGGAGGAGGATAGAAGTGGCAGGGGGGGCACCTAACCTAGTCGTGTAAAAGGAAAAATTATACTACTTTCTTATAGGGGAAATTATAGTACTTGGTGCTATAATAAATATTAATAATAATTTAAGGTCACGACGCGGTGTCCCCCCAGCTACCGTATATACTGACGACGTTGTTCTCCTCCCTCAG